ATTTTCTTTTTCTAAGAATTTCATAAATGGAATCATATAATATGCAATCTTTCATGACTGGTTTATTTAGCGTGTTTTTGAATTCCATCCTTGTTGTAACATATTCTAATACTTTATTCATTTTCATTGCTGAATAGCATTTCACTGTATGGCTATAACCATATTTTGTTTATCCATTTATCAGTGGATAAACATTTGAGTGGTTTCTACTTTTAGGCATTATGAATAATGTTCTATATTTTCATGTATGTCTTTGTGTGGACCTGTGTTTCCATTTCTCTTGGATACATTCATGGTAAATTTATCTTTAACTTTTTAAGTAGCTATCAAACTATTTCCCAAAGTACTGGTACCATTTTAGTCCCATCATCAAAGTATGAGAGATCCAGTTTCTCCATATTCTTGCTAGCATTTATTATTGTGTATCACTTTTATTATAGCCATTCTAAAGATATGATATGGTATATTACTATGGTCTTAAATACATTTCCCTCATGGATACTTAAAAATAAGTCTTCATTCTTTCTTTCATACACTGCTCACCCATTCTCTGGTTGTACCTGTTAACTGTATCTTTAATTCTTTCTCATCTTCATGCCCATTGCTTTACTTCTTCACTATTCTTGATTATTAAAATGGCCTCTAGGGGCGCCTGGGTGGCTTAGTCGGTTAAGCGTCCGACTTTCACTTAGGTCATGATCTCGCAGTTCGTGGGTTCGAGCCCCGCGTCGGGCTCTGTGCTGACTGCCAGCTCAGAGCCTGGAGCCTGTTTCAGAGTCTGTGACTCCCTCTCTCTCTGACCCTCCCCTGCTCACGCTGTCTCTCTCTCTCCTAGAAATAAATAAAAATATTTAAAAAAAAAATAAAAAAAAAATAAAATGGCCTCTAGACTGCTTTGCCTGATATCCATTCCTCTGAAGGGTCACAGTCTATTTTCCAAATTGCCATCCAAAGGAATTTTCAAGAATGCAGTTGTTATCTTGTCTCTCCCTTACTATAAATCCTTTAAGCCTTTAAGATAATGTCTATCATGCAGACCCTGTTTATTTTACATTATCTGTTCCTGCTGCTCTTTCCCCCCACCATCCCGCCTTCCTACAAACCCTCACAACACTCTACACACATGTTCTGCACAGATCCTGGCCTGCTATCTACCTGCAATTATTTGAGTACATTAGGAGTACATTCTTTCTTCTGTGCCTTTGAACATGCTGTTACTTCTGTCTGGAATGTTCATCCATCTCTGTCTACAAACTCTTACTCATTCTTCTTCTTTTTTTAATGTTTATTTATTTTTGAGACAGGGAGAGACAGAGCTGGAAACAAGGAGGGGCAGAGAGAGAGGGAGACACAGAATCCAAAGCAGGCTCCAGGCTCTGTCAGCACAGAGTCCTATGCGGGGCTTGAACCTGTGAACGATGATATCATGACCTGAGCCAAAGTTGGCTTAACGACTGAGCCACCCAGGCACCCCAGACTCTCAACTCATTCTTGAAGGCTCAGCACAAATAATACCTCCTCTTAGAATCTTTCTGCATTTCTTGGTAACAGTTAAGCTTTGTTTTTTTATGTGTTAATATAGTGACATACATAGATGTCTGTGAGGATATTAGTGTGATTTGAATGAAATTGTCATTTTTGTAAGTTCAAATATAGTTTAAATGAATTAGCCTAAAACATTTTTGTAATTACTTATGTGACTGTCATTTGTTAAAGGTAGTAGGGCCACTTACTACATTTTTGTTGCCAGGTAAATGAACAAATAAATTGTTCTTAAAGACTAAGACTTTCTTTTTTTTTTTTAATTTTTTTATAGTTTATTTATTTTTGAGACACAGAGAGACAGAGCATGAGCGGGAGAGGGGCAGAGAGAGAGGGAGACAGAATCTGAAACAGGCTCCAGGTTCTGAGCTGCCAGTACAGAACCCAATGTGGGGCTCGAACCCACAAACCTCAAGATCATGACCTGAGCCAAAGTCGGACACTTAACCGACAGAGCCACCCAGGTGCCCTGAAATACCAACACTTTAATTTAGAGTTAAAGGTTATCTTGAAAAGTGTTAGATTTTTCTGAGTGCCTGGGTGGCACAGTCAGTTAAGCATCCAACTCTTGATTTCGGCTCAGGTCGCAATTTCTCAGTAAGTTCAAGTACTGCATCAGGCATCTATGCTGATGGTGCAGAGCGCCTGCTCTGAATTTCTTTCTCCCTCTCTCTCTGCCCCTTCCTTGCTTGCACATGCGCTCTCTCTCAGAATGAATAAATAAAAACATAGAAAAATGTTAGACTTTCTACTTTAGAATTATGTAGACTTAAAGGTTAAGTTTATTTGCATTGTGAAAAAATATCAAACCAAATGCCATAATATATCTCTGAATAATACATCTTGAATGTCATAGATGAAGCCACAGATTATTATCTCTCACATGAGTTAGTAGTCGTTTTCACGTTTACAGCATCATAGTTCTGTAGTTCAAATAAAATAATAAAATTTACAGGTTTTCATAAAAATACCATTTTAAAATGTAAACACTATAAACTAACATGATTAATATATACTATATGTGTGTATGTATATGTATATATAAAGATTGTAGCTATGTAAAAATACCTTTGAATGTGGGGAAAATATGCAATAATGAATTGTTTTTAGAGTATGGGCTTATGAGTTTATTTTAATACTTTCTTAAAATAACAATTATACTAGTTTCACATCAAGTAGTAATGTCTGAATTGTGATTTTAGAAAAGATAACCATCTAAATGCTTTGCATACTTTAGATAATTATATGATAAAGAACCCTGTACTTCATTTAAACAAAATTTTATTTTTAGGCAACATTTTAAAATTATTTGTGATTTTTGGGGCACCTGGGTGACTCACTCAGTTGAGCGTCTGGCACTTGGTTTCGGCTGGCATCTCACAGTTTGTGAGATCGAACCCTGCATGTGGCTCTGCACTGGCAACACAGAGCCTTCTTGGGATTCTCTCTCCCTTTCTCTCTGCCCCTTCCCTGCTCATAATCAATCAATCAATCAATCAATCAATAAAATAAAAATTTATTATTTTTTTAATTAAAAAAATTGGTTTTAAACATTTATTTATTTTTGAGAGACAGAGCATGAACAAGGGAGGGGCAGAGAGAGAGACACACACACACACAGAATCTGAAGCAGGCTCCAGGATATGAGCAGTCAGCCCACAGCCCGATGCAGGGCTTGAACTCATGAACCATGAGATCATGACCAGAGCCAAATTTGACTGCTTAACCGACTGAGCCACTCAGGTGCCCCAAAATTTTATGATTTTTAAAATTTTAGTTTCCTTAACACATGTATTAGAGCTACCATAGTTTGCAGGGAGTTTTGTTGCCATTAATATTAGTCATGTTCAGTAATTATATTCATTTTAAATTGAACATGGTGTTAATATGTTCTATATATGTTCTATTGTAGCTATTAGCTCTTAGTTTTGTAAGTCCTTCAGATCATCATTTATATAAATGTCATGTGCTTCATAAGGAAATTCTTTTTTAAAAATACCTTGTGGAACACTTGTCCATTAGCTCTCAATTAAAATTCCTTTTCTCCACAAACTTACACAGCACTCTTCAATTATTCCTACATGAAAAGATAAATAAAGAGTCTAAAGAATGTGGTTTATTTTATAACTTTAAGAATTGGAAGTGATTTGAGAGGGCAGCTTAGTACAAGTCCTTTTATAAATAAAAGTCTGCTTCATTTGCAACTCTGAACATGAGAACTCAAAGGGGTGGTTCCCTTGGCTGGTGCCTGACCTCTGTGCACACCTTGGTATTTGTCTCAACTTCGCCCACACTGCACACTGCGGCCATATAAATCAGATTTTCAATTTGTTATAAATGCAAGGCACAGATGTTGTAGTCTTCAGTATTCAAACTCTTTTGAAGCGCTGAGTATCCAACAAAATTTGTTGTTTGTATGAATGTAAGTTTTTATTGAGGTAAGCCTATCTGTTTGAAAAAAGGACTCATGCAGTTAGCTAGTATTTATTTCAAATTAAGTAGATTTAATTTCTCTCTATGTCTTTGTCTCTCTTTGCCTTGTCTGTATAAGGCTTTGGGAAGAGACCTTGATATTACACCTGTGTTAATAGGAAGCTATTGATTGAGATTTCTGTTACAAAGTCTTCCTCTCAGGAGTAAGTCACTTTATAAAACAAAATTGAGAGCTTATAATCATAAAGTGAGTATCTTTCATCCTTTCATGTATTTTTTTAAATTCCTTTGTTCTGTTATAGCAGGTAACTTCACATATGCCTTAATAGCTACTTTCCTGTGCCAGATGCCAGACATTTTTTAAAAGCAAGGCATTTGTAAATTGGTAAATACTATGTCAATCGACCGTAAATTTGTAAAAAGTACAGTACTTTCATAAAAGTTTTAAAGCTTCCATAGAAATGCAAACCTTTTAAATGCTTTTAAAGATTTCTCTATAAGTATATTTTTGGCCATTTTCGATAAGCTGAAAAATTGGAAGTTATGAATAATTCTGTTTAAAAGTCAGATTAGAAATAAGCTTTATGAAAAAGTAAAAAGTCAATTCAGGTCATCCAGTTTCATTTAGAGAGTCATATCTTTTATATATAATCTTATATAGTATGCTACTGTGATAATGTTTATTTAAAAAACATTTGACTTCTCTGCAGAGATTTAAGATTACATTATTTAGTCAATGACTTATATTTACTGTGTTTATTCTGTTTAATGTTGATCTTTTAGTTTTTTATGTTCAGATGTTTTTATTGATATGTAGTAAGTAGCTAAAAAAATAGATGCACTAACTGAAGAATTTTATCACTAACATATAAATGTCTTAGTTTTCATCATTTAAAAATGTATGCTAATAGAATATTTGACTATTATAATACCTTCAAAAGATAATCTCTCCTAAATTATTAATTTTAGGTGCTGTTTTTCAACCCTAAACTTTTGACCAAGAATGAAACTATTTAAAAATTAAGATGCCAACAGGTAACTTCTTGTAATTTTACACATTTGTCAGTGTGTGTCACATAGCAATAGAACCCCCCACCCCTGCGAAAAAAGGTGTGTTAATACAAAGCTTTATTTTTCCCTATCTAAAATTGTTCCAGGAATTTGAAATATTTTGGTTTTGAAAGATCACTTTTTATAGCATAAAACTATTTTATTTAGACATATATTTTGTTGCTTTTTCCAAATTGACAAATTCTAGCTTACTTTATATCTAAAACCAACTTCACAAAAGAATACATGATATTATCACGTGTGGAAATTAAGAAGCAAAAAAGTTTAAGAAGATGAACATAGGGGAAGAAAAGGAAAAATAAGATAAATACAAAGAAGGAGGCAAACCATAAGAGACTCTTAAAATACAAGCTGAGAACAAACTGAGAACTGCTGGAGGGGTGGTGGTTGGGGAATGGGCTAAATGGGTGATGGGCATGAAGGAGGGCACTTGTTGGAATAAACACTGGGTATCATATGTAAGTGATGAATCAACAAATTCTACTCCTGAAACCAATACTACACTATTAACTAACTTGAATTTAAATAAACAATTTTTTTAAAAGGAATAAATGAAATCAAAATAACAAAGTAGATTCAGAGATAATGCTTCAAGTTAAATGAGCATTCTTTACAGACAAAATACCAGATTTTGGGACCTGACTGGTTATAATCCAGTTAAAAATAAAGACATTGATTTCAGCTATTCTGTGATAAAGTTACATTCTACTCTCAGTGGAAAACCCTATGTGATGATTCCTGTGATTCTGATGTAATGTTAATTGGGATTTTATTTGTTAGCCATATTATTCCTGAAAAATGGTAAGCAGTATCTTATTAAAAGTTGTTTTTGATTGTAAAGAAGCACACCATTGTATAAAAAAGAAAAAAGCCAGAAAAATTAGTTCTGATTAGTTTACTTTCTTTTTTCCCACTTAAAATTTTTTCTACTTCAGTTTTCTTCTTTGTTTTTGTTTTTTTTTTTTGTTTTTTTTTTTTACTTTCATAGTTATAATCATGGGGAAAAAATCTGTTATAAGATGTCTGATAAGACTGATAGGGGAATTCTAGTCCCTGCCCGAAGACTCCCATTCTGGGTTTTCCTTCCCAACCTGCTTTCCATGAGAACAGACTATAAACTCTCACCTCTGCTTATGCTCTGGGCTGAGACCTCTGGAGAATGATCTCTCTGAGCCCACCAGTGTAAAATAAACCTCCTGCCTTCCAAAATCTTCAAGTGCCAGCTTGGTTCTTCTGCCAAGTGATCCAGACCAGATTCCAGAATAATAATGTCATGGTGATTCCAATTCTTGTCAATTTTAAAGTAAAAGGAACATTTAAAAAATTTAAATTCTGGTGGTGGAAACATCTGGCTCAGTAGCAATTATATTTTAACAACTGTTGATATTCAGTGGTAAATAAAGGCTAGAGGATTTTTTTAATGCCAAATTTGAGTAATGCCATTTTCTTCACATAAGATAATTCTAGGTTATTTTCTAGACAGACAGTTAGGAAGTAGTGATGTACAGTTTTATCCCTCTTAAAGGCCAAAAGATAAAGTGCTCAGCAATTTGCCCTTCTAATTATAAATAGTAGTATAATGATTCAGTGATTTTATAGATATTTCTAAATTTTTCTGTATAATGGTTTTGGTGACCAGGAATGAAAGAAAAAGGTTTAAAAAGATAGGTGTGGGGAGGGAGGTACAGGATGGAAGAAAGGAGAGGGACCATGGGAGACCAGGAAAGAAAAGAGATAAAGTAGGATAAATGAAAGGTCAAAGATAAAGAAGGATATAAGGATGAAGAAAGAAGGGGGGAGAGAAAGCAAGCAAAAAAGAAATGGAAGTTTATTTTTTCAATATTTTAAAAGTTTTGGCTGTATATCAAGCAGTGACTTAGGTTTTTAATTTTACTTTAGAACTTTAGATAGTCTTTTCAGTTACCAGCTGTTACCTAAAATCCTCTTCCAAATCAAAACTTTGTAAGATTACATTTTGGTCTTTTTTTGTCGTTGTTGTTATTTTAAAGATTTTATTGTTAAGTAATCTGAATACCCAGTGTGAGGCTGGAACCCACAACCCCCGAGATCGAGATCGAGAATCGCATGCTCTACTGACTAAGCCAGCCAGGCATCCCTAGGTTTTTTGTTTTTTTTTTTTTAATTTTAAAATTGTCATAAATGAATTATTTAAAGTTAATTTTGGAAATTAGAATTTATTTCAATTATATAAATAATTTTCCTACAGCAGTTTCATAGTTTAATGAATTTTAGACCAAAAGGAAGGAATTTAAATATACCTTTAGAACAAGAAAAACTCTAAACAAAGCTGCAGAATCTTAGTATTAAATAGAAAAGCCACTGTTTATTTTAAGATCCTAATTGCCTTTTAAAAGTCTAATGAATATAGAGATTCCTTATTTCTGTAATATAATCTATAAATCTGTTATAATTAATGGCTGTATCTTTAGGACAGATTAATTTTTCTCTCAAAGGGATAGAAATCCCTGCTTATCAAATAGGGAATAAGATTAAGTTCTTCATTTTGAGGAGCAATTCTTCATTTTAATTTTTAGAGTTGCAATTTCAATCTAAGATACTTAGTCCTTTACTTGTTTTATTAGAAAAACTTAATTTGCCTTTCTCCATTTCATTTATGTATGTGTTTAGATCACGAAGAGCCCTGTGGTCCCAGTCACAGGTCATTTTGCCTAAATGGCGGGATGTGTTATGTGATACCTACTATTTCCAGCCCATTTTGTAGGTAAGTAAAATGTGCTGGGGTGGGGAAGGCAATTTTATTTTTTATCGTCTACTAACTTCTTTGGGAAGTGATAAATATTGATCAAAAAGTGTAAGATGAAAACAATTGAGGAAAACTCTATATAAAATGAAGTTATACTTTTTTTTAATGTTTATTTAATTTTGAGAGAGAGAGAAAGAGACAGAGTGTGAGCAAGGGAGGGGCAGAGAGGGAGACACAGAATTGGAAGCAGACTTCAGGCTCCAAGCTGTCAGCACAGAGCCCAGTGCAGGGCTCAAACTCATGAACCGTGAGATCAAGACCTGAGCTGAAGTCAAGAGTCAGACACTTAACCTACTGAGCCACTCAGGTGCCCCTGCTTTTTATACCTCATAATACATTTAGAGATCTTTTCATGGCAATACACAGAGTACTTTATTATAACTGCTCAGTATTATATTTTACACAAGTACTATGGTCTATTTAACCCTGTTGATAGACATCTGGGATGTTTCTCATCTTTTCCTAATGCAAATAATGCTGCATATGTATGTAATTTTATAGAGTGCAAGTTAAATTCCAAGATTTGTCTAGTGAAGGGTATATGCATTTGTAATTTTGATAGATATTGTCAAGTTGCTTTGCATAGACATTCCTACCATCTATGTATGAGAGTGCTTCATTGCCCAGCAGACTGCATTGTCTATCTTTGGACATTTACCAATCTGAAATGGTATCTCAGTATTGCCTTAATTCACATTTACCTTATGATAGGAGGAAAGGTTGGATCATTTGTATTCCCTTTCTATCAACTATTTATTCTTTATATTCTATCCCAGCTTTCCTTTTTTTTAAATTTAAATTCCAGTTGTTAACATACAATGTAATATTAGTTTCAGTTGTAGAATTGAGGGGATTCATCACTTACATACAACACCCAGTGCTCATCACAACAAATGCAGTCCTTAATACCCATCACCTATTTAACCCATCCCCTTACCAACTTCCCCTTTGGTAACCATCAGTTTGTTGTTTATAGTAAAGGGTCTGTCTCTTGGTTTCTCTCTTGCTCTATCTTTTTCCCCTTTGCTTATTTGTTTCTTAAATTCCACATGTGGGTGAAATCATATGGTATTTGTCTTTCTCTGTGACTCATTTCACTTCGGATGACACTCTTTAGCTCCACATCATTGCATATGGCAAAACTTTATTCTTTTCTATGGCTGGGTAATACTCCATTTTATGTATGTACCCACAGTTCTTTATCCATTCATCAGTTGATGGACATTTGGGCTTTTTCCATAATTTGGCTATTGTAAAGTTTAAAGACCTTTTACCTCTTTGGCCAGGTTTATCCCAAAGTATCTTATGGTTTGTGGTATAATTGTAAAAGGGTTAATTCCTTGATTTCTCTTTCTGCTGCTGCATTATGGGTAGATAGAAATGCAACCAATTTCTGTACTTTGTTTTTGTATCCTGCAACTTTGCTGAATTCATGGATCTGTTCTAGCAGGTTTTTTGGTGGAGTCTTTCAGTTTTCCACATAGAGTATCATGTAGTCTGCAAAGAGTGAAAATTTGACTTTTCCCTTGCCAATTTGTATGCATTTTATTTCTTTTTGTTGTCTGATTGCTGAGGCTAAGACTTCCAACACTATGTTGAACCACAGTGGTAAGAGTGGACATCCCTGTTTTTTTTGTTCCTGACCTTAGAGGGAAGTCTCTCAGTTTTTCCTCATTGAGGATGATATCAGCTGTGGGTTTTTCATATATGGCCTTTATCATGTTGAGTTATATTCTTTCTATGTCTACTTTCTTGAGGGTTTTTCTTGAGGCATTTGTCAAATGCTTTTTCTGTATTTATTAATAGGATCATATGGTTCATATCCTTTCTTTTATAAATGTGGTGTATCATGTTGATTGATTTGCAAATATTGAACCAGCCCTGCAACCCAGGAATAAATTCTACTTGATCCTGGTGAATAATTCTTTTAATGTATTGTTGAATTGTATTTGTTAGTATCTTGGTTGAGAATTTTTGCATCCAAGTTCATCAGGGATATTGGTCTGTAATTCTCCTTTTTAGTGGGGTTTTTGTCAGGTTTTAGAATCCAGGTAATCTGGGATTCACAGAATGAGTTTGGAAGCTTTACTTCCATTTCTATTTTTTTGAACAGTTTGAGTAGAATAGGTATTAATCTTCTTCAAATATCTGGTAGAATTCCTCTGGGAAACTGTCTGGCCTATGACTCTGGTTTATTGGGAGACTTTTCATTATTGATTCAATTACTTTCCTGGTTATAGGTCTGTTCAAATTTCTATTTCTTCCTGTTTCAGGTTTGGTAGTATGTGAGTTTCTAGGAATTTTTCCATTTCCTCTAGCTTGGCCAGTATGTTGACATATAATTTTTCTGGTATTGTCTTAAAATTGTTTATATTTCTGTGGCATCTGTTTTGATCTCTCCTCTTTCATTCATTATTTTATTTAGTTGTGTTTTCTTTTTGATAGGTCTTGCTAGGGGGTTATCAATTTTGTTTATTCTTTCAGAGAACCAGTTTTTCATTTAATTGATCTGTTCTACTGTTGTTGTTTTTCTTAAGTATCATTTACTTCTGCTCTAATCTTTATTTTTTCCCTTCTTCCGCTGGCTTTAGGCTTTATTTGCTGCTTCTTTTCTAGCTCCTTTAGGCATAGGGTTAGGTTGTATATTTGAGACCTTTCTTGCTTCTTGAGATAGGCCTTCATTGCAATGTACTTTCCTCTTAGGACTGCCTTCACTGCATCCCAAAGGGTTTGGACTGTCCTGTCTTCATTTTCATTTGCCTCCATGTATTTTTAAATTTCTTCTTTAGTTTCCTGACTAACCCATTCATTTTTTAGTAAGAATGTTCTTTAACTTTCATGTATTTGTGTTCTTTCCAAATTTTTCTTGTGCTTGATTTCAAGTTTCATAGCATTATGATCCAAAAATATGTATGGTATAATCTCAGTCTTTTTGTACCTACTGAGAGCTGATTTGTGACCCAGTATGTGATCTATTCTGGAGAATGTTCCATGTGTACTTGAGAAGAATATGTATTCTGCTACTTTATGATGAAAAGAACTGACAATATCTGTTAAGTCCATCTGGTTCATTGTGCCATTCAAAGCCACTGTTACCTTGTTGCTTTTCTGCTTATATGATCTGTCCATTGCTGTAAATGGGGTATTAAAGTCCCTTACTATTATGGTATTATTATCAGTGAGTTTTTTTATGTTTGTTATTAATTGATTTATATATTTGGATCTTTCAAGTTAGGGGCATAAATATATTTACAATTGTCAGATATTCTTGATGGATAGACCCCTTAATTATGATATAATGCCATTTTTATCTCTTGTTACAGTCTTTGTTTTGAAATCTAGTTTGTCTGATATAAGTATGGCTACTCTGGCTTTCTTTTTACTTCCATTAGCATGATAGATGGTTCTCAATTCCCTCATTTTCAATGTGCAGGTGTCTTTCAGTTAAAATGTGTCTCTTGTAGGCAGAATATAAATTGTTTTTATCCATTCTGATACCTTATTTCTCTTGATTAGATCATTTAGTCCATATACATTCATAGTGGCTATTGAAAGATGAATTTAGTGCCATTGTGTTGCCTGTAGAGTTGGTGTTTCTGGTGATGTTATCTGGTCCTTTGTAGTCTTGATTGCTTTCATCTTTGTTACTCCACTCAGAGAGTCCCCCTTAAAAGTTCTTGCAGGGCTGGTTTAGTGGTCAGGAACTCCTTTAGTTTTTGTTCGTCTGGGAAACTTTTTCTGTCTCCTTCTGTTCTGAATGACTGCCTTCCTAGATAAAGGATTCTTGGCTGTAAATTTTTCCTGTTCAGTACATTGAATATTTCCAGCTACTACCTTCTGACCTACCAAGTTTCAGTGGACATGTCTGCTGCTAACCTTATGTATCTATCTTTGTCAGTTAAGGAACTTTTATCCCTGGCTGCTTTCAGAATTCTATCTTTTTTGCAAGTTTCACTGTGATATTTTGTGGTGTTGACCTGTTTTTGTTGATTCTGAGGAGAGTTCTCTGTGCTTCTTAGACTTGAATGCCTATTTCCTTTCCAAGTTTAGTGAAGTTCTCAGCTATAATTTGTTCAAATAAACCTTTTGTCCTTTTCCTCTCTATTCTTGTTCTGGGGCTCCTATAGTATGGATATTATTTTGTTTCATCAACTAAGTTCTCTAATTCTCCCCTCATGATCTAATAATTTCCTTTCACTCTTTTTTTTTCAGCTTAAGTATTTTCCATAATTTCATCTTCTGTATCACCTATTTCTCCTCTGCTTCTTCAGTCCTTGTTGTGACTATATCCAATTGGTTTTGTATCTCAGTTATAGCATTTTTTAAATTTTGTCCTGACTAGTTTTCAGGTCTTTGATCTCTGCAGCAAGGGTTTCTCTGGTGTCTTCTATGCTTTCTTAAGGCACAAATAGTAGTCTTATGACTGTTTTTCTAAATTCTTGTTCAGATATATTGCTAATATCTATTTTGAGCAAGTCTCTGCTTACATTTCTTCTTCTTTTTGGGAGAATTTTTGTGGGGAAAATCCTCCATCTTGTCATTTTGGCTAAATTTCTGTCTTGTATGTGTTTTAAAAGCCTTTTAGATTTCCTGCACCTGGGAATACTGCTATATTAAAAAGGGGCCATACACTGTCCAGGGCCTGGCCCTTCAGAAAGCGTTTCTGGTATATGCTGTGTTCACTCTGCTGCTGTATTTTGGCTCCTCTTTTCCATGTGTCAGTCCTCTGCAGAGCTCCTCCCAGCTTGTAGTGTGGGAGTATTTGGATCTTTAACAAGGTGTGCTTTGATTTGTTTGTTGAAATAAGCCTGGAGAAAGGGGGAAAATGAAAGCCTGGTCCCAAACAAAGAGAAAAGGAAAAGGAACAAATAATATCAGAGAATCAAAAAACTATGTCTATTCCAAAGATAAAGAAAGGAAAAATAAAAAGAAAATGAAGAAAAGAAAAAAGAAAGAGA